TGGTTTTGTGAAAATGGAAATCATGTTGGTGCCACAAGCTGAAATCTTGGAAAATTGCAAAAAATATGGGATTCCAAATTCCAGAAATTGGGGAAATTTATGTACTTTCAGAGAGCCACCCAGGTCTTATGTACCACTTGARACATACCTGGTTACATATGTGGATATATGTYATCAGGAACAATCCAATGTTACCACTGTAGCACTAGTACCAACTACAGYAGGAGTACCATGTTTGTAGTCAGCCAATCTTTCTGTTTGGCACCARTATTCTAATTCTGTATYGTAATTGGCAAGTAGCTCACTTTGCTTGTATTCAGGCGCGGTTGAATAYYAAATGAATACTAAAATTGCTCACAAAGAAACACTAATAGTTAATTTTTGTCTTAAATCCAGCACCTCTGTTGAGTATATATCCCTGGTGTATGAATACAGTAGTATCAAAAATTGTATTCTGGTCYGACCCAGTTTTTGCCATGATAATGCTGCTAGTAAATTGGCCGAACCAGAATACAAAAATTTGCATATGGTCACATTTTGTACTGCTGGTACTGTTATTATTATTTTGTACTGTATCACCAGCATCCKCTGTATCCAGCAGCAACATGTATCAGTACCATCTCTATATCAGCAACTTGTATCAGCATCTTGTATCTGTATCCTCCTAATCAGCATTCTCTGTATCAGCATCCTCCATATAGTAGTCAGCATCCTCTGTATCGTCAATGCACCAATAGTAGCTAGTAGTTGTAACGTGAATTCAAGTGCAGAGTGAGCTACTCAACAATTACCTAAATAATCATGAAGRCTACTCACTGCCTTAACCATCAGTAATCTAACCTGAGTCTCAATCTYGGTATTGGTCAAGGATGAGGTATCAGTCTCGAGCTAACGCTCTCAACCTTGACCTTGACATTGACCTCAACCCCCTTGTTTTCCTTTAGATTACTTTTGTAATCCATATATAATCTGATTTGTATTCACAAAAAATCTCTRTAAGGGAAGAATACATTATTTGCAGTCAAGCCACATTCAGTTGGGTACCAAGATTGTGAAATTACCRACTTTGATGGATTTTATGTTCGATGTGTAGATGCTGAGGAGAAAGTTGAATGGATGTAGGTAGTCCTTGGAGAAGGAGACTAAAAATTTGATCACTTCAACTCCTCAAAACACAGCGGCAACATAGATGTCTGCAAGAATATGAATCAAGAATTATCCATCAAACTCAAACAAGTCACAAGGGAATACAATCAACTCAATTACCAATCAATATTGCTAGTAGTAATGCAACAAGAACTGTTCACAAATTACAGGGAAGATCTTTGGAAAATGTTCTGGTTTCAACTTGGTCTTACCACACAAGCAATTGGATTTTTATGCTTCTTCTTGTTTCAAGAGGAGTTGCTAAACTACTACTACTACTACTACTACTACTACTACTACTACTACTACTACTACTAGTAGTAGTAGTAGTAGTACTAGAACTTCCAATAGTCGTAGTCATTTTTGTAAGAACACCTCGGCTCTTCTCCTGCTTACAAAAAATAACAGCAACAAAAACAATACCCAGCATACACAACAAATCAATCATTTACATTCATAGTTCACTAACAATAATATTTCACTAACAACAAAAAGCCACAGTGCTTTCATTGAATAGCTTCTTCTACTACATTCTTTTCATACTAGCATAACTTCTTCATCCTTACTTGCACTCACTTAGTTTTTGCACCGTAGAATCTACTAGTAAAGTATTTGCGTTAGCAAGCCAATTTTTTCTCACGTGACGTTTTTTCAGGAAACTACACGTTGTTACGAAGAAGTACTGTAGTACATTTTTTTTGAAAATCCTGGTGTTCTGGCAGAAATTCGACCCATCAACCCTCATGAATCTCGTCATTAGTCCTGCCATTAAAAATAATGAAATCGAGATGTGCACAAARCGAACTCACCACTMTCCCATCGCCATCTAATCAGACCGAGAGAGCCAGAGAGCGATAGAGCAAAAGGAATTTCATTAAWAGAAAATCGCAACAGTGATTATCGAGGAACTCGACGCTTTTTAATTCCACGCTTGACATCTGATTGAACAAAGAGAAAAGGGCTAAAATGGTACAAGGAAATTGGCAGCGTCGAGCCGAGATGAGCGAGACTCGTCGTCTGGAAGCTAAGCAACGCAAGCAGCGCAATGCCGAAAGAAAAAATTTCAAGTCCCAGGCTCAGGATTTGATGTCGTTCTTAAATCGGAACGGTGCCCACATATTTCGTACGCATTACCAATCTCAAACTTCGTTAGGTGAAAAGACAGATGTAACCATCCATATATGGACAGACACTCAACCGTGCTCAGAGGATGGTTCCCCTTCTGACGAATTATGGGAAGAGGATCACACTGCGAATAACAAAAGGAAGACTAAGCAGAAAGGAGGAAATATGAACTATGGGAGGCGAGATAGATCAATTTCRGTTGAGAATGAGGAGTCGGGGAGGTCGGCGAAAGGCTACAAAAATAATGTCAACGGGAAAAAGAAATCCCACCCTCGAAGCAAAGATAATTCCACCAGCAATATTGTAGAAGCCAGCAAGATATACTCGACCCACAAACCAAAGCTATATCGATCACATTTTTTTGACGAGAGATGCAACGGGAGCACCAATAAGAAGGGGGGATCAGGAGCAAAAAAGAACTATGACCGTCGTTTTACTCATTACCCCAAAAAMGACAGAACGTTACACGAAGTTTTATTTCATAAACTATTACGCGATGGTGATCACGAGGATTCAGTTTCAAGTGTCAAGAAGATTTTATTAGCATGCGATGAGTCTCATCCATCTTCTATTATGCCTGGCGACAAAACTCCTACACCGGAAGCCATGGATATGGTGTACTACTYGTCCTTTACTACTGATGAGCTGTTTGGTGGATTTTCCAATGATGGAGAGCTTTCCTGCCAATCTTTCAGYCCCGCGATTGTCGACGTCATCACAAAACAGTCATGTAACATTGGAAGCATCGTGTACTTTGCAGTTGGTAACCAACTATTGTATGATCGTTACAGGAAAGGGATCGTTGTAGAAGAGMGCCAAATGATTGGACTGGAACGACATAGAAGTCCCACAGGAAAGAATGCTTCAGACGCAAATGTTGGATCGATGCATTTATCAGCTTCAATCCTTGAATATATTTTGACCTTCCTTGACGATARAGCCGTTGCGTCAATGGCATCAGTGTGTCGTTCATGGAATCGAGAGATAGGGAAGCAATCAGAAAATTTATGGAAATTTCTCCTACAACGCCGGCAGTGGCCTTTCCCTCATCGTCATCAAGTTCAGAACCAAATCGCTTTTCCAACGTTACGAGGAGCATTTGTCTCTCATTACACAGCAGTTAGAGAAGCAAATGCAGTGAAAAYTGGCATTGATTGCCTGTTAACTCGAAAATCGATGAACGAATACGATGGAAGTATACGGTCATTTGAATCCCTACGAAATTCACCTGAAGGTGTAAATTACTGTATGGGCGTGAAGATCTGGGCCTCAAATCACTTATTGGCGGGATACTCTGAGGATTGTACGGTGAGACTGTTTGACTCTGTCGATGGAAGTGAAAGTTCAGGAGAAAGATTATGYCGCGAACTGATCTGCYGGTGTGTCGATCCTTACCAAAAGACCAAGAAGAAAAATTGCACACTACTTGCCATGGCACTGGATGAAGATTACATTGGCTGCATCTTGCAGGTGGCGGACGATATTTCTTCATATGAYGGTTTTATTCTCACTGTTTTAAGTAGGGATAGTTTCTTGATCGACGATGGCTCCAACGATGAGACTGTGCAAGTGATCGATATTCGTCAGGCCGTTCTGAACTTCCTTCTCAGTTGCGACGATGTAGACCACAGCCTTTTRGAGCTTCGTGATTATCTATCCAATGAAGGTGATTTGGATGATATCGAAGTCATTGCTTCGCGAAGTCTGGCCGAATGTGGGTCCGGTAGATTTATGGTTGAGGTATCAGTAATTATCGCTTCCGATGGTATCTACGAGGATTCCCTACTATTCCGGAAGCTCTTTTTGTTTTCTACTAGTGTRGGAGCTATCACGTGGATGTCTGATTCAGGGTCCTATTCAGCGCCATTTCGGCACTGGGATGAGAGCATGAAACTTTTTTCTGTCAAGACGGAAGAAAATGGACGAAACGAATATGACGTTCTATCCTTGTTATGTTTTTCGGATACAATTATAAATCATACAATTGATTCAGTAGGCAACGTTAATCGTTCCATGCCGATTCAAGGAACTGACTTGGTTCGACAGGAACTTTTGCGAGACGGTTGGGTCATCAAACAATCAAGCGAGAGACCAGTGGCGGTAATAAAGAATCTCGTAGTCGTTGCTGACAACTTGTGCCGTGAGGAAATCGAAAATCAGAGCGTGAGATCGGTTGTATCRTTTTACACAAGACGGAGCGATGATTCTCGTTCAGKATGCGATAGCCTGAATCTAATTGGAAACCTAGTGGTTTGTCATTTGATTGCACTCGGGAACTCTCATGTCATTGCAATCTGTCGAAGTTTGGAATCCGATACCGATGCGATAGACGGACACTGGTTTGGCCCRAATGCTACCCCTACGGTATTAATGTCAATGTATGCCATCTTGATCGACGTCGAATCTAGGTCTGAGATTTATAGGACATGTTTGYTAAATAATCTTAATGACCTTGGAAACAGTTCGYTKGGATTTTTCATGATGGAAGGGGAATTTCCGATTCATTTGGCTATAGATGGAGACACAGCTGCTGCTGCTTTGACRACAAAAGGAGTTGTGTTGACAGGAGCAGATTGCCGYAGGTCTCGGGCGAACAACGTTCGCAGCAACCAAGAGCTTATGTCTMCCTCCAAATCCGCAAAAAAAGCTAAGAAGAAGAAAATTGCAAAGAAGGGCGGAAAGAAAGATGGCTACGCCAGAGGACTGAAGAGTTAAATTAAGTTTCGGCTCTTATTTTATCTCGTTTATTGTACAATGAATTGCTTTTACCTCGATCCGGATGCTTCTAACTAACTTCCGAGTGAATTTTATGACATRGATGTTATGCATAGTACTTCTGTACGATTGAGGTTGCAACATATATTTTGTATTGAGAATAAACTGACTTTTTGCAGAAGAGATCCGTTGAGCGCCCGGACYAATGTAATCGTACACTCTTGAATTCTGCAAATATTACTAAAAAATCTCTTCCACTTTAGCTAGCCACGATGAAGCTGCAGATCTCGTCGTCGACTTTCTCAARTATTGTAAGTCRTTCGTCGCAAATATTCTTTTTGCGAYGTGCAACTGTGGCTACTTGTTTCCTTGTCACACTTCATCTTCATGCAGAATCATGTTCGGTATTCCATCTTTAATAGGAAATTTACGTCCTGTATCTGGGCAAACAAGAAAACCATCCAAAACATGAACATCAAAAAGAAAGAAATGGAGATTCTTTAGGATCGCCTCATCAGCTGATTCTCCTTTCGGAGGCTCCGATGGAATGTCAGACGCTTCGGATAACGTCTTTGACATCTCTGGTTTTATACTTGAWTTGCATCGAATATCGTTGATGGCTCCTATTAATCCAGAGTAGTTCACTTTCTTTAACACCTTGCTCACGAGAATTGAGTCCATTGTMGATTCTTCGACTATCACGTTGGTCGCTTCAATTCTCAAAGGATACCCCTCTGTGGTTCTGTGGATGTAATTGTTGACACAGATGCAACGCAACAATTSACAGTAAGGAAAAGTAGGCGATGGGTGAGGAATTATCRAATTTCTTCGGCAAACCAAGAAGTTGCTGCTCACTGCCCTCTACTTTCTACCCGACGTKTGCGGAAAAGAAAATTAATGGAGAACCTACCCTTTGACATTGGACTGCAGAAAATTGTGGGTTAGCAGTCTCATTCTTGCCTATCTAACGTACTTATTAATTTTACCTCTTTTRCCTTTAAAGCTTTTAATCTCTCTGCATCCCGTCTTTCACTTTTGAGAGCTACCGATGAAATCCTCACGAGGTGTTTGGTCCCCCTCGTCTGTCGATGCTTTTCAGACTAAGAGTTTTGAGTTTTTTGATTTTTGACAACGAACGACATTTCGTGGAGACAGCGTAACTCGGGTTTGAAGTCAGTCCCATTCTTTTTGATTTGACTACTGTATTGATGATGTTCTGAAACAACTTTCTCAAAAATTGCGCGCGCAAAGCACAAATGCTGAAATAGTCTGTCCTACGCTCCGTTCATTCGAAAAATATCCACACGCGTGGACGCAATTTATGTTACGGTATGAGAGGACGACAGCGGAGGAAGAGGTCTCTTCGCCGCTGTTCAATCCATGCTTCACGCTACTTGCAGAAGTAGTTGTACTAGCAACCAGGATAGTACGAGTACYTCATACGACCCGATAGCTTCTGAGCATTCYGTCCTAATAGTAGCGCTGGAAGAATCGAATCCTGATCTTGTTGTTGTTTAGTTTGYTAAACTCTTATACACCGCATCTATTTCTCAGAAAGCCTTCAAAGTTCAAAAATGTCGGAAGGAACAGCTGTCGATGCCACACCAACAACGTTGGACGCCGATGACAATGATGGGTTCCGAATYTACCTCGGAGATGAGAGAAAGAACTTGCTCTGCCGATTTTACGAGAACAAATATCCAGAAATTGAGTCCGTTGTTATGGTGAACGTCCGCAACATTGCTGATATGGGAGCTTATGTCTCGCTTTTGGAATACGACAACATTGAAGGAATGATCTTGTTGTCCGAATTGTCTCGGCGCCGTATTCGTTCCATCCACAAGCTTATTCGCGTGAACAGAAACGAAGTGGTAATGGTTTTGCGTGTTGACAAAGAGAAGGGATATATCGATCTTAGTAAGCGCCGAGTTTCACCTGAGGATGTGCAAGCTTGCGAAGAACGCTTCAACAAGGCAAAGACTGTGCATGGAGTCCTCCGCCATTTGGCAGAACGACGAAAGTACTTCTTGGAGGATCTCTACGAAAAAATCGGTTGGCCGCTTTACAAGAAATATGGGCATGCGTATGATGCTTTCAAGTTGGCAATTTCTGAAGAAAAGGACGCSGGTGATCCTTTYGCGGAATTGGATGTTCCGCAAGATCTTAAGGACGAACTGAAATCATACATCTTGCGTCGTTTGGCACCGCAACCGATCAAAATTAGAAGTGACATCGAAGTTTCGTGCTTCACTTATGAGGGCATTGATGCCATTCGCGAGGCACTCTTTGCCGGTATGACCCTCGGAACCGAGCAGAATCCAATCAAGATCAAACTCATTGCTCCACCTATCTATGTCTTGTCGACGACTACTCTCGAGAAAGAAGTCGGAATTGGTTTGCTCAACCAAGCCATTGAAGTGATCAAAGAAAAGATAACCGCGAAGGGTGGAAAGATTGATGTCAAGATGGCACCGAAGGCCGTCAGTGTGAAGGAGGAGTCTGAGCTACAAGAGATGATGGACAGGCTAGCTCTAGAAAACGAAGAAGTAGACGGGGATGCACCTGAAGACGAATAAACAAACTCATCTCTGACTAATTAAATTTGCTCGGCGAAAAATTCAAATTATACAAGTTGAATATGTCAATCTAGTACTTCTACTTGGTAGCTAGAGAGAAGATCCTTGTCCTGAACACAGTAATAATAGGAGTACTACTAGTACCAGTTGCACTGGTGCTATAACAACTACTAGTAGTTTGATTGCCTTCTTTTATTGCCTAGTACTACCACTAGTATTAAAATTAGTGACTGCTGTGTGCTTGGAGGTATTTAATTCAAAAGACTTCACAATACTTGAAATAATACAGAACTCATCCTTTTCAGTTGTAGAGGTTAATGGGATGCAGCTTTTTTGGCAACTTTGGTTTTCGTCTTGGTACTGGTAATAGCAGTTTGTTTAGTTACGATACGAACTCATGCGGCTCTCTAGTTGTATTGATAGTACGTACTTAMGACCACAGGTACAATTCGTTACGAAATCACAAAAACAACMAGTTACAGTACCAGGTACTCGTACGTTACAGAGACSCCAACGTCTAATTCACGAGTGAATTACCGCATTTACCACATCTACTATTATTTTTCCAAGACGAACGCACGGCCGAACAGACGATTCCCGCAACAAGAAGGTAGAGGAAAACCCTTGCGAAAGTTCSCTTSACCTCACTAACTAGACCCAAGCTGTCGACRACCGACTTAAAACTGCCTGTGTGCTCGTTATTCACTACATTACCAAGTAAATAGTCAATCATGGACGCCCTTACGAAAGACAAGAAGGACCAATACGCCACGGCGTTCGCCATCCTTTCCCTCTACGACGGCGGTGCCGAAGTTACCTCGGAACAAATCAGTGCTCTGCTCGAGGCTACTGGAAACACGGACGTTGAAGCCTTCTACCCTATCATTTTCGCCCAATTTTTGAACGATCCTAAGAAGATTGGTGAAATGATCGCTGCTCCAGGCGGCGGCGGCGGCGGTAAGTTGACCGCGTTACTCTTTCTTTTGCGATACAAACAATTCTATACCCCAAACGAAGCGATTGATTCTTATTTGATTTGTGTTCATTTTRTCTCTTTTTCATACAGGCGGCGGCGGTGGTGCTGGCGGTGCCGGTGGTGAAGCCGCCGAAGAAGAGGAGGAGGAAGAAGTCGAAGAAGAAGAAGCCGAAGCTCCTCCATCAGGAGGCGGTCTTTTCGGAGATGATGGCGACGGTGATTATTAAACGGGAAAGCAATATGTTGTTCCGGGTAAATAGAGTTTCACTCTACCATATATTGTTTATTTAATAGACGGTCACTATTKAAATAACTTCTTGCTAGATCGAGTCTGGAAAACTACTCCGAATTTTATTTCAGTTAGAGTACACGTAACTGTGCCAGTTTCGATTAATAACAATACAGCAAGCACTAGAGATTGCGTCTTCGTTGATCTATTCTTGGAGTTACACGTCGRCAATGAAAGACGACCTAGAGTTCTGCATACATTGACCCAATGCAATACTTGTTTCTTTTTTTTCCGAAATATATCATGTCGGTTGACAAAAGGTTTCTCTTTTCAAGTCGATTCTTTGTTGCCTATTTCGAGATCGAGGATGTGACGGATGAAAATATGGTGGTGTCCGGCACGASTAACGCATCACATTCGATACAAATCAGTTAGTGAGGGTTGAGATATTATTTGTTCTTCTTCGATGCTACTACGCAAATGCATTTAAAAACCCCTACTGTTTTGTCTACAGTTGGTAATGTGGAGTAGTAAGTGATTCGTAGTGCATCACCAAAATGTYGCTAACAATGATTCAATTCCCGTACGGTGGTGTGATATTTGAAATCTGCTTCTTCAAAGTTATGTGCCAAGTATTAAACCAAAATTACTCAAGCACTGAATAAAATTCAYTCGATTAGATCGCTCACCAGAATTTCACCTCAACACAAACGCAGATTCTCGAAATTGAATCGAGAGATACATCACTCTTCTTAGTACTATACTGCTGACTTTTCTCCAATTCTTTTCCGTAGGTATCTCCTCTTCACATGACATTTACSTACAAAGATATTATAGTTGGAATGTCCATTGATATTTTTATACAATGGGGGTAGTTCCAAATAAATCAAATCCGACCACAATGCAGCCACAGATTCTAGTACTTATGCTTCAACAGAAAGAATTGCTGCTGYTGATGATCGTTTCTTTATCCATGATTCCTTACAATTTTGCTTCGACGCGCCCGGCTCGTTGCTTGGATTTCAATGCCCATTTTCCYTCTTTCTCAGCCCTGGCTTATCCTTGAACAAAACATACTGCTGTTAAGTATTCTTCTTCCACTTTTTCCCTTCAACAAAATATACTCCTGYTGTTGATACTCGACACGTTGTCCAATATATTTTCCAGTTTTGCTTCGACACGCTTCGCACGTTGTTCCGCTTTCAGTGCACGTTCCTCCGCTTTTTCAGCCCTCGCTTCTGCCTTTTCAGCCCTTGCTTCCGCCTTCCGGGTTCGTTCCTCCGCCATTCGGTTCTGTTCACTAAGTTGTTTTAGCAACTTCTCTATGGTTGCGGGACTTTCACCTTTTTGCTTTGCGTTTGATGAATTCCAGATTTTCTTCCTGCTGATACCTTTACTTTTTACTTCAGGATTCGCTTCTGCCACCCTCCGCGAGGACGAGAAAAACCTCTTCGGYGGTGGATTTCGTTGCATTTCATTGCAACTCTTCGTCTTAGACATGAAAGCTCTCATTTTGAGTTTCTGCTTTGTTGTTCAATAATCTTCAAAACRTAATTTGAGACGACTGAAAGAAGTTCTTCAGAAAGAGAAGATACGATCATCTAGTRTTCGCTGTGTACGTTCGGTCGACTGGCAAGGGCGAGTGATTTGAAGTCGTAGCTTGACACCGCGATTTGAGAGACAAAGAAAAATTCAAAATATTGTAATTAAAAGAACTCGTGCCGCGCCTGTATTTCGTGGAACTTATTGTTCAGTTCAAATRCACCRGTACTGTAATAAATGAATATGCTTCATGGATGCGATCACGGGCGCGACCAGGAATGCGACCAGAATGTGACTACGGCGATTTTGACAATGCGGTCGATTTTGTCCATGGTCGACGAAGTATTTTCCGAACGGAAAGTTGCTAGGCGTTGCTGATCAATTGAAATTACGTTTCAAATTTACCTAGAATTTAAGAATGCCCATTCTTCATTTGGTACCGTAGGGTGTCAGCATCGTCCAAAAACAATCATGATTCTGGTCTTGTTTCCTAAAAAAGGAGGAAGAAGGACACCTCCCCCACTAACATTTGGAATGTGGTTAAGTGCATTAGTGGCGTTAAATTCAAGCAAAACCCACAGTACTCATTTCTAGGAAGGTTTACAGTGATAGTAATATTCGGAATGATAAGAAGTTAACATTTGTTCTTGCTGGAATGCCCTGCTGCCTCCTCCTGTGTACTAAGGAGAAGAACATATTTTCAATTGATCCGCAATGCATACTACTAGTAGTGCAATGCATACTGTGTACCAATCAAAATTATGTTTGACAGGGCATTCCAAATGTTAGAATTGAAGTTCCCAACAATGTTAACTTATGTCAGACTTGACATTTGGAATGTAAGTACTAAAATTGCAGGTCTGCCTATGTAGTAGATCAAAGTAGTATTCCCCATTCTTCATTTGGTAGCAGACTAGCATCCAAAAACAATAATCTTGGTCTTGTTTCCATAAAAAAGGAAGAAGAACAAGGATGCATTCTTGTTGTTGCCTGCTGCTTCAGCATATGGAATGTGGTTGCTTCAATGGAATTTGAAGTGAATATTCACCATAATGTCAAAATCAAGCAAAGTCATCTACAAAGGCATATAGTGTTAACATGTTGAATGTTAATTTAACATTTGGCATGTTAGGTAAACATTTGGTATGCCCTGTGAAATGTCATAGTAGTTGTAATTTCAATTGACAATACACAAGAAGAATGCGTAGTAACAATTGAACTCTCCTCTTCACAGTTGGGATTTCAAATGTTTGACCAAACATTTGGAATGTTAGTCTTACCATTCTGAATGCCATGTTAACACCATAGGTCTTTGTAGAAAGGATCACTGCTGCTTGGACTTAATGGCGCTAGTTTTGCTTCAATTTGACACTCACTCTTCCTTAACATTCCTAATAATGTTAGCAGTGTAGAATTTCCTTTTTGTTCCTCCTAGTATTTCCCTTTTAAGGCACCACAATAATGACTGAAATAGTTGTTTCTAGAAGGTACTACTACACTACCACCATGTTGAAAAATGGAGATATTGCTAGTAGTAAAAAGTCTTAAATGATATATTTAACCTAGTACTAGGTTAAATATAACAGACCCAAAACTGATATTCATACCAAGGCCAGGGAAAATATGTGGCAGGCAACAATTAGCGCCCAAGATTTCCTGGCACGAAGTCAGAAAACGAAATAAACATCACAGGAAAAAAATTGCCATAGGAGATATTTTCAAGTACACAAAGTTTCCCATTAAAGATGAAGTATTAGATGCCATCATAGCAGTCAACCTTGAACTATGTTTGGTAGTACAGACCCAGTTCCAGATAGCTTGGTGGTCACTGCAGCAAGGTGGGGAGGGACTATCAACAGTGCTATCACTGCATGCAGACACAATGCACAGACATTGGCAAGGAAAAATTACAAGGGTAAGCAAAACAAATGCACGTGCATGCACAATATCAGACACAACTGAGAGTTTGTGACTCATGGTGATCATCAATGTCTGATTGTTAAGTACAGAAGACAAAAAACAAGGTAGTACCAGAATTGTTCAGCRGCAATTGCTTCATAGCAGAAGGAGATGGAGGAGATACATATGTGCTAGTAAGAAGTAGCTGCAGACAAGAGGTGGTGTCCCTAATTAAATGGAATTCAAGCAAAGAGAACACAAGGATAAACTGAGCTCCATTTTCACYGCAACAACAGACAAAGCCTTTGTTGCACTGCTGTTTTTGTACAAGGACTACGAATCATGGAATAATCCTGGTAGTGGAAAGAAAACCAGAAAGCAATTCACCAATAGTAGGATAGGTAACAAAGAAGGCTGGAGCTATAAGGGATGTATGCTGTTTGGATAGTTAGTAGTAGAAGAGGTAAAGAAGCAAAGAGAGAAAGATGTTTTAGTGGAGATTGAACAAGAACAAGGGCTAAGGGCAGCGTACAGAAGAGAACAAAATGGAGACGACAGGGAGGATAGAATTAATAAAAAAAGAAAGGTGCGCAAAATGGAGAAAAAATATGATTAGAAGAAATGTTGGGAAGACAATGCACAATGAGATCTTAAATGAACTGAAGTCAAAGATACAAGCTGGTGTATGAAAACCAAACTAAAGTCCGCGTACTCCTACTACTACAGTACTAACAATAACCGAACCTTTTGGATAAAAAAATAGTGACGCTGCACGAAACACCATTTAGAATTTCATCTTTTCCAATTAGATAGAATTGCTTCACTGTGAATTAAATTTGGCGCTAGAAGTAGAGAAGTTGTCACTAGGTGGCAGAGAGTTGGCATGAGGGAAGAGGAATTTGAAAGTGACCACAAGAGGAATGGAGGAACTCAAAATAATRTTTTGGTGACAACACATAATACTTTTCAAATGGTTGMGACAATTTGTCTCCAAATATGAAAAATAAATAAATAAAAGAATTGAAACCAAGCATGAGAAAGGGCATTGAACTCCACATGAGAAATGAATCTTTGAGAACACGTTCCAAGGAAAACGGCCAGATATTTGCATACAAGCATTACAAAATACACSCACGAATTTAATTTTATGTACGCGGGAAAAACAAAGCACCAAAGGTATCCGTTTGTGTGATGTACTACTAGTCAACAAAGAGAGGCAACAAGCTAGTAACAAAATACTAGGGCGAACCGCAAGAAGCTAACACTTCATCCACTAACATATGYTAGTATGTTCTTGAAAGAGAAACGTAATATACCAGACTGATTCTATTTTAATTATATCGTGCCGGTAAACATTCCAATCATTATAAATCGATAATGCGTGGAGAAGACTGCGTAGCTTGACCTCATCGTTCGCCAACGCCAACGTACGATGGCCCGTTTGTGGTTTCATCCTATTACGTCTAGTTGAGTAGTTACCTCCTGTGAATTTGAGATTACAGGTTGTCGGGACTTTCTCCTATTCGAACAAGTATCATTCGATTAGTTGAATCCTTCAAGTCCAGCAAGGGCTGGGACAGATCCAGGAACGTTGTTGGCAGCAATGAATCCCATGATTCCGATCATGGCAAGACGTCCGTTTTGCAATTCTCGGGTTTGCTTTGTCTTCAACGTATCGGCGTCAACTCCGCTGAAGTCAAATTTAGGGAAAACCACTTCGGGGGTGTTTCCTCCCTTCATGTAATGRGTTCCTTGAGATTCGCTGGCAAGCTCGGCAACGAAAATAGTTCCCAAAATCTGGGCCTTTCCAGCATCAGGGACAGCATCCCAGGCATCGAAGGGCTTCATGGCAGAAAGGGTGCTGAAGTCAACATCACTGGCGAGCTTTCCAGGGAAGTGGAATCCCATCGAYTGGACGACGTATCCGCTGAATGCAAGCATGGCAACACGACCATGTTTCAACTCAGCGGCGCGGAACCAGGCAAGGGTTTCGTCACTYCCGATATCGGCAAGGCCGAGAGGGTCGAAGTTTTTGATAGGCTTGATGCTTCCGGCCATGGAGTCCAAATCAGCGGCAAGCTGAGTGCTGGATCCCTGGGGAACAGATCACATCAAAAATTGAGATTCCGAGCGATAGACCCATTCAAATRTCCAATATATCGAAACAGCAAGGAATAGTCAGCAAATAAGATTTTTTGTGTTCAGTGAACRGTTTCAGTCTTCCCGAATGAAGAGAGGAGAATCCTAACATTAACATATGAAATTGTTCATCGGTTGCTTCTTTTGGCTCCATTCATGATCGAATTCGCWTSTCGAATGCGGCGATGGATAGATCTTACCTGTTTGGCGGCAGGAGCGAAGGCGGCGGCRGTACCGGCAAGGGCGAGCAAAGTGAAGGTCTTCATGGTGTATGTTGTATTGTTGTCGATTTATAATAGTACGTTCGTGATRAAGGTCAAAAAGAAGTCGTAATTTTCATTCAACGAAGGTACAAAGTCGTATGCAGGAGCACGTTTTCGTTACTTACCGGCTCTTCACGTCTTTTATCGTACAAAAATCCCCGATCTTTACTTCAACAAAAGATGTTCTAGACCCTCTTTATTCGAAGGGGTCGAATCAAATGTACATTCTCAAAGAAATAGAAATAAATGTAACRTTAGTATTAGACGATACGATAAGTACGAAGAGTACGTACGTAYAGTATTGTGCGCATCATTACGAAGTCAATTTCAGTACTACGTACSGTACAGTACGAAGCACCAMGATTTGTCGCGCGAGAGGAAAGAACCCCATCCCTGCTCCTTGATCCAGGSTCCTTGCTTGCTTGCCTGGCCTGTTGCCAATCAAAATCAAAATATTRCCAACCAAAATAMGAGAGAAAAAACTTGATCCTGGGCTATTCTGGTCTGTCCGATGTGTTGTACGTACCTGCATGCATGGCTCTACGAGTACCGTACAAATCGGACCACAGAATGTTCTCGAAAAAAGAAAAAAWTGAATGTTTTGATGACACCCATCTGAATCATCGTTTGTTTTCCCTATTCCCTATTGACGACCAAAACAGTGCATGATCAAACCACAAGTTTTTGGATCTCACGCTCTCCAGGATTGGTTCTACGGCATGTACAAGTACTCTTGCCATTTTGTACYCACATTATCGGAATCTGATATCAGGCAACCCAACGTCTCGAATGGCACTGAACAATTCCTTGCTACTACTAGATCGCTCGACTCAATAAAAGCAGCCACCCGATGATAGATCCTGTTCGACAGTTATTCCTTCCATTCTGTGCCATTGACTGAATACTRATTGATTATTGCTGAAATGGATGAATCAGATCCATTATTGATTGCAGGGTCGATAAAATCGTCGGCAGAGTTGTCATCGGAATGTTCTATGTCACACAGAAGCGCCGATGGCAGAGTTCTCAGCACTAGCACTGGTGAAGATATCGAATGTGCTCGCTGGATGCTCTTCATATCCCATTTCTTCAATCAATTTTCAGAACAAGTCTGGCAGTTCTGCCTTGCCCTGTTCCTAGCAGCTTATACCAACAACCAGTCGTTGATACTGGTCACTTCTTATGGATTAGTAACATACTCATTCGTTTGTTTGTTTGGTTCCTCCGTGGGACGATACATCGATGGATCGAATCGGTTGGTTGTTGCTCGGCAGTTTATTGGTTTCGAGAATGTTGCCGTCGTGGTAGCTACAATCTTGTGCTACAAACTCTTGTCGAGGGACCACGATMTAATAACAAGGTATGGTAATGTCACTCCTGTCGATCCAAACATGTCGAGGGGAGAAGAACCCCTCTATAATCTGGAGTCCGTTTCRTTATTGGTAGGAATCCATTTACTAGGYGCCGTCGCGATGATCCTTGACTCTGGATTTCTTGTAGCCGTGGAGAGAGACTGGATTGTTGTCATGAGCATTGCCGTGTGCAATATTTGCAAGTCGGAAAGAAAATTGACGAAGGAAGAAGAAGAAAATGTGCAGAAAACATGGCTAAGCGACACGAATGTCAGAATGAGACAAATCGATCTGAGCTGCAAGATTCTTGCCCCAGCAATYGGGGGTATATTTATTGCATCCTTTGATGACGGAAAGAGTAAAAATCACGGGTACAACCTTCGTGAAGCAACTCTTTTGGTAGGGDCCGTGAACGTTGTAGCCCTAATTGTCGAATACATATGTACGGCCAAAATCTACCACAAAATTACAGAACTGTCTCAAAAGTCCCACAATGACACGTCGGTTAAACTGGGACACAAAGGGGAGGAATCCAACACCGATAACGRGAAAAAGGAAGTTGCGAAGGAAGGCAGAACCARGCACGCAGGCACTATAAATGGAAAAAKATCATTCAAAATTCTTGACGACGTCGAAGTATACTTCAGCCAATCGATCTGCTGGGCTGGTTTTTCCCTGTCTTTGTTATATTTGAACGTTACSCTTWCGTTTGGCAACATCATGACCGTTTATTTGGTTTGGAGAGGCATCGGCATGGAGGTGATCGGAATTTGGAGAGGGATAGCATCCGTTGCTGGTCTATCCGGAACCTTTGTGTATCACTTTCTCGCCAACKACAAGAAGACGGACCTCRTAGATATTGGAATGATGAGCGTAGCYTTTSAATTTCTATGCTTGTCTGCGTGTTATGTGTCACTGTTTATCGAGGACGACAGTACATTCACCATTATGTTGGTGGGGGGTGTATGTCTAAGTCGTGTTGGCCTCTGGGTCTTCGACATTACTGTGACTCAGCTTATGCAATTGCACATACCCCCTCCTATCCGKGGTTTGGTGGGAGGGGTGCAGCAATCCRTGAACGCCTTTTTTACTGTGACGATGTATTTGGTGGGACTGTTCCTTTCCGATCCYTCCGATTTTTWCATCTATTCTTTCACCAGTTATATTGGTGTGTTTTTGGCGGCGATGTTTTACGGAACGATGGTTTTTAGACGCAAGCTGACATTCATCWYYAGTAAAGACGATAAAAATGAGKTTTCGGTGTAACGCTTTATAACATTGATGAAYTACCAAGTTTCAATTATCCGACCATCCGTATCTTCCAGTGATGCATTTCGCGAATTYAGTCGATTCCCCAGATGCACGAGTTACATTCGAAAGACTCCAAATTTCGTGGTATTGGGTTCGCAACCCTTGCGCCGAGCAACGGCAAGGGAGTAGCCCAAAACAGATCTTGTGTCTGCTGGATCGATAATGCCATCGTCGAAGAGTTCAGAGGTCGAAAAATAGGCAGAACTTTCGTGCTCGAATTTTTCGATGATTGGTTTTTGAAAATCGGCCTCTTCTTGCGACGACCAAGAATCACCCCTCGCTTCGATGTTGTCCCTCTGTACGGTTGACAAAACGTTGGCGGCTTGCGATGCGCCCATCACCGATATTTTTGCATTGGGCCACATGTAGAGGAATCTTGGTCCAAACGCTCGTCCGCACATTCCGTAGTTCCCCGCACCGTACGATCCACCCACAATCATTGTGATCTTTGGGACGGATGCATTGCTCACGCTAGTGACTAGTTTTGCCCCATTCTTCGCGATGCCCTCGCTCTCGTACTTGCTTCCGACCATGAAACCCGTAATGTTCTAGATTTCGAGCCAAGATTTGGAATCCAATTTGTAAGTTTTGGTAACGGGGACGAGGGCAGTGTTTCCCAGCAGCAAAATACCAACAGTTTCGCATTCACTTACCTGCAARAAGACAATGGGAATGCCTCTCTGGCAGCACAGCTCTACGAAATGAGAGCCCTTCAGTGCACTCTCCGAGAACAGAATCCCGTTGTTGGCGACGATGCCGACGTCCTGTCCCATGATTTTGCCAAAGCCCGTCACCAGAGTCTTTCCGTAGTTGGCCTTGAACTCGTGGAAGCGACTGCCGTCAAGAATGCGTGCCAGGACCAATCGAATGTCAAAGGGCTTCTTGGAATCCGCCGGAACGATGCCACCCAGCTCCCCGGGATCGTAGAGCGGTTCGTCCCAGGGTGCCGCCGTGGCCGGGTCCTCCTCTCGGCTCTTTCCCAGGTTTGCAACCACGTGCCGCGTCATGGAGAGTGCTTCTTCTTCCGTCGCGGCCATGTGGTCCACTACGCCCGAGATCTCTGCGTGTACCTTCGCACCACCCAAGGCCTCCGCCGTGATTTCCTCTCCGGTTGCCGCTTTGACGAGGGGTGGCCCACCCAAAAAGATCGTTCCGTTYCCCTGCACAATRATGGACTCGTCGGACATGCTGGGTATGTACGCACCGCCGGCCGTGCACGATCCGCAAATGACTGACGGAGATCAACAGCAAMGCATGAGAACAAGTCGAGCAGAACCAAACAAAATCATTCATGCGCSATTGGATGGATTGATCTGTGGTGCTGTTTGTTTGTTTTTTCGCACGTACGCACCTGCCACCTGTGGAATCCCCTTCGCCGACATGTTCGCCTGGTTGAAGAAGATCCGTCCAAAGTGCTCCTTGTCGGGAAAGACCCGCGCCTGCTCCGGCAGAAAGGCCCCGCCGCTGTCCACCAGGTAGATGCACGGCAGGTCGTTCTCCAGGGCGATTTCCTGCGCCCGCAGGTGTTTCTTGACGGTGATCGGAAAGTAGGTCCCGCCCTTGACCGTCGCGTCGTTGGCAACCATCACGCAGAGCCGGCCGGAGACCATCCCGATCCCCGTGACGATCCCGCCGCTGGGGATCCCTTGCAGGGTTCCCGCCAGGGCGGAGAGCTCCAGGAGCGGGGTCCCCGGATCGCAGAGGGCCTCCATCCGGTCCCGGGGCAGGAGCTTGTTCCGGTTGAGGTGGCGCTCGACGGCCCGCGGCCCCCCTCCCTGTTTGACCTTTTCGAGGCGCCGGTGGAGGTCGTCCACCTGCGCCCTGGTTCGATCCATGGCCCGCAGATAGCTTTCGGACCGGGTGTCCAGGTCGCAGTCCCTCAGAGTGGGAGCCGGGGGATCGCGTTGGTGCTGGTGCTGGTRWTGSKKTTGSKKYTGGTGCTGGTRMTGGTRMTGGTACCGATGCTGATCCGAACGGGCATCGAGAGTGGCGGAAWACGAATTCCTCCTGTTCCCGGTCGTGGCCGAGGCACCAATGGCACCGCCCCGATGCTGTTGCTCTTGCCGGAGGGCAAACGATTCTRTCCGAGCGAGAACCAATCCCGGCSGGATGCGGCTCGARAAGGCAGGGARCATTTTGCTTGGTAACGACCCCACGAGTGTGCAGACTSCCTTCCTGCGATTCTTTGGCGGCGTATAGCGGTTCTGGTGCAATGCTGCGGATGGTTTCTTTTTTGTGAGAGAAAACTAAATATTGCCTTTTCTTGCATCGCGAGAAGGACGGAAACCGCGGAAAGAATTCTTATTCTTGACACGCACGACACAACCAGTACGAGTAGTACTCACACGAGTAGTACTGTAGTGCGGTACGGGATTGATGATTGTTGCGAAGGTGACGGCGGAAACCGAGACAACAATCCAATCACAAACCAATCATTGCGGTATGCTCTGTGTTCGGGTCATGTAATGTGGTATCCTGTATCCTTATTACCGTTTTGTACGGTACGGTAGGTACGAGTACGTACAGTACTAATGTATCCGGCGACTAACGTAACCATGTCACGATTGAGGATTGAGGAAGAAGCGTGATTCTTATTCGGCTATGATAATAGTTTTATTAGATACTAATGGTATCAACGTATTAGAAATCAAGAATCCGTGTGACACCATAAACCGCAGTACGGTGCGTACATTGTACGAAAATCTCCTACCAGTTCCACCGGTACGGATAGACTGTCCGTCCGTCGCTCGCTGTCGGACGGTACGAGTACTGGTAGGGACCGSGTTGGACGGGGGAAAATAAAACCCATCCCACAACATAATTTTTGAATCGAACGGATCGCGCGGCAAAACTCCGCTGGTGTGGAGTCGAAAACCAAAAACCCAACGTAAGTGGTCTACACGTCTAAGGCGGCTTGGCTTGAAATGATGTCCYTGCGGACAATCGGAGTCAATTTCTGTCCCTCGCTCGTCAGATTGTAGGAACAGAATCAAGAAAAACGAAAAACAGCGTGACAAGGTTTTTCCCAATATTAGTATTCATATTATTGGCGGACGACGGAATGACGATGGCTTCTTGACAGAAACCATTTCGACGATGRATGCACGATTCAACGGGAGTCCGTCCAGTTTTCTGTCTCACTCGATCGAGCATGCAGACGCTCGACAATGCTCYCACATAAATAAGATGCAAGTAAAACAAGATTTGGAAACCAATAAAACTTGAATTCGTAGCAACTACAGTACTCCAATCCAGCGGTAGACGCAAAAGACAAGCAGGGCTTTTACTCGTACCCGTAATCGTATTCGCATTCGCAGCGGCACGGGAGAACCGAAGCGGCGTCGAGACAGCGCTGTAAAACAACCACTGCGAGCATCATTTCAATTTCAACCAAACTAGCGTTACACCCCCGTGGTTTCAGGTTCGCGCTGAAACAGAATCTGCCTCCATCGCTCACACCAAGACCAACGCGGCTTGATTTCCTTCCAGCATTGCATCGCATTACATCGCATCGCATCGAGTCGATACAAAGCAAAAGCACTCCGGGAATCATTTCACATTTCACGGAACCAAAACACCCATTGACACAACAAACCACACCCTTGCCTCGATACAAATACCTCGATACAAAATACAAATACACCACCTCCCATCGCCATCGCCATCGYCATCTCATTCCCAMASTCGTCGCAGAAAGCCCCACCATGCGCCAGATCATAACACAGGACTCCTGGAGCGCCGGCTCGAGGGGCAACAGCTCGCGGCGGTTCGGCGCCAGCGGCAGCCTCGGAAGGATGGATGCGTCCCCCACCAGGGGCGAAACCGATTCCTCCTTTGAGGTCTCGCACACGAGCGGCAGCAGCTACGCCCACGGAAGCAAACCGCAAATCGGCACCGGCGACAGCAACCGCAACAGCAACAACAACAGCAACCGCGGGACGTCCTTTGTGCCCGCGGACCACTCGGACCGGATCGAACCCGGGTTTGTCTCGACGCACGAAACGTCCTGGGACGCCCTTGCCAGCGATTCCCTTGCGGCCTCCAACCCGGTGGCCAGGACCGTCGTGACGCCCTCTCCTCCCTCGAGAAACCGAATGCCGGGACGATCGAGCAGCTTCTTGAGAAAGCACCGCCAGCAGCAGCAGCAACAACAGCAGCAGCAACAAAGGCAATACCAGCAGCACGAGCAGCACCATCCTTACCAGCAACACGAGCAACAACACCAACTACACCAACAGCAACCACAACAGCAACCACCACACCGCCCCGAATCGGCAACCCCCTCCGAAGAAGACCCCCCGCGCTCCGGATCGAAGATTGCCCGGCTGGCCTCGATGTTTTCCAGCCGTGCGGAACCGGTGGTGGTCCCGCTGCGGGCGGCTTCCCCGGTGGACCGGTCCGAGCATTCCTCGCCCTCGCCCTCGTCCCCCCCCGGGTCGGAATCCTCCGCCGGGTACGTCGTGTGGCCGGGGACCCAGGACCGCGAGGGGGTCACCGTTCTGGAGGAATCGAGCTACGACGAGAGCGACGCAAGCGTCGGCGCCGCCCGGGAACCCGCCCGGGACTTTGCGGGCAGCGATCGCGACAAGGTCCACCGYCTGGCGGGGGAGCGGAATCCTTCCGCCGCCAGCAACGGCCGGATCGTCATGGAGCCCCTCCACGACGACGCGTTGTCGGACCTGAGCGCGGGCTACTCCCGGACCTCCTCGGCGTATTTCAGTCCCGGAGAGGTCCAGGCGATCCGCAAGGGAAACACMGAGCAGCTGGTGGCGAACCAGAACCGGAACCGGCTGGCGGCCACCGTCATGAGGCGCTGCCTCTCGTCGTCGTCGTCGGTGGCGAGAAGGCACCCGCAGCAGCAGCAGCAGCACCACCACCACCAGAACCAGCTGCAGCCTCTCACGGAAGAGGCCCTGGCCATGAAAAACCACCTGTCGCCACCCACCCGAAGCTTCGTCACCACCGGATACCGTGGACTCTTGGACAAGACGAGAGACGTTCCCAACCTGATGGACGAAACCGCTTCGGACACCACCAGTGCCGTGTCCGCCGCRACCAGCAGGCAATCGATGCCCCAGCAACCGCGATCGTCTCCCTACGACAAGCATCTGAGGGAACGGCAACAGCACCAACAACAACACAAACGGGTCGACACGATCGACGAATACGGCACGACCGAGGATGTCTTTGCCACCGAGGAGAACGTCGGGGGATACGATGCGGGAGGAGCGAACAGGTCCTCCAACGCCTCGTTTCTGGAGGACAGCGACCACGAGGGACTCCTCGGGGTTCGGAGCCGGGATTCCGTCGAAAAGCTGAACCTGGCCCTCCTGGGTGGCGGGTTGACAACAATCCAGACCACCTCGGACGACTTTACGAACCGAAAGACGGCGAGCGACTTTGACGAAACCCTCAGCAACAGCGACTGCGACCAGAACGGATTCGTCAAGATTCCCGCCCTGAACGAGATGCTCTCCGCCGGGAGGAACCACCACGATTCGGCCCTGAGCTGCCAGTCCCTCCGGTTTGCCTCGGAAGCACGCTCGATCCGGCGCAACCACCAGGACCGGTCGGGCCTGTTCTCGGACCCCCACGGCCCGGCACCGGCGCGCCACGGAGCCGCCGACTTTGACGGGAACTTTGGACGGTTCTACATCGGCCCCGAGCAGATGCAGATCTTGGTCAAGAAGTTCCGCAGGATGAGCCTCGCCCGCTGCAAGCGCTTGGACTACGAAGAACTGGAGCGCGAAGAAGACGCCACCAAGGCCTTTGCGCTCTCGGAGATGAGGAGCCGGATCATGGAAACGGACATCGAGCGCGGACTCGAGCGCATGGGAGGGACCACGGTCGTCGACGACATTGTCCTCACCTCCTTTTACAGGGCGGCGCTCCGCGTCCGGGAYGCGGTCATTGTCGCCAAGGCCTGGCGGGACGGGGCAACCCCGCACGACGTCGTSACCACCTCGAAGCTGACRCGGCGCGACGAGCGTTCGTACTACATTGCCCGCTACGGTGCCTCCGCGGGGGGCGCCGCCCGGTACACCTGGGAGGAGGTCTGCTGGCTGGACGACAGCGAGCTCTCCCGGTACCGGTGCCACTCGATCGGCCCCCGCCACCTCAAGGGCGTGGAAATGTTCACYATCGGGGACTGCCAGAGCATCCTGCTGAAGCTCTCCAACGAGCGGTGCAAGGAACTCCGGGCCGAGCTGAACAGGGCCACCGCGATCCAGATCGAGGCCGAGGCGGCCATGAAGGAAGAGGGAGAAACCTTTGACGGGATGATGACGGAYGCCGAAATGACCTACCTCACCTCGATGGAGGAGGTGAAATCGATCTCGCARAAGCTCGTGCTCGCGGAAAAGTCCTTTGGGCTCGTCCGGGACCGGATCGAGAAGCTGGTGGCCAAGTACGAGGCGCTCCTGGTGCATTTCGAGAACGAGACCGATTCCGTGGCCCCGTCCTCGGTCTTTTCGTACGAGAGCTCCTGCTATTCCGAGGACTACTCCTTTGCCGCCGCGCAGAAGCGCGAGGACGAGCTCCTCGCACGCCGGGCGCGGCGTGCCGAGCTCCGGGCCGAGCTCGAGGCCCGCGAATCCCGGATGGCCCCCGGGGACAGCCAGTCCGTCGTCTTGGAACAGGAACGGGTCCTCGACRGCCTCAAGGCGCGGATTTCCGACCTCCGGTCCGAGTCCTCGGCCGCCTTCACGGACCGGGATCGSTCGGTCGTCCTGGCCCGGGCCATCCGGCGGGGTCCCCCGGCCGCCGGCAGCGGAGACGCTTCGGGCAAGGGCACCGGCCGGTCGAAGATCGACGACATCAAGCAGCGCTTCCGGGACCGCAGCGCCGCCAAGTCGCAGGTGGGTTCCGGCAGCGCATCCGGCAGCGCATCCGGCGGGGGCCCGAACCAGCCCTCGGCACCCGGCGGCCGCTCGGGTTCCTCTGGCAACCGAACCGATGCCAACCACTTCCAGCGCACCGTAGGAGAGGAGATGTTCCAGCACCTCGATTTCTACGAGCGCTCCCTCAAGGCCGTGGAAGGGCATCGCTACCACTGACCAAAACACCCGAGAGGCCGCGTTCCCAACTTGGTTTCTTTGAAAGCAAACCAAGAAATGGACGGGAMTTCTCATTTTCCTCTTCAACAATAAAAAATACTACTACTCGAAAACAATAWCTTTGTGTWCTACTATACTAGTAGTTTAGGCCCAACCTCTATCAACGTGATCTAATGGATGTTCAACGTGCCRGCAGTAGATTGAAAGGTATACTAGTGGTACYAGTACAGTAGTTGTCTAGAGATGAATTTGGCCATTCTGGCAGTATACCGTACTTACATGCCATTCCCCAATCCCCTGAAGAATCAGACCGACAAATTGAATCMAGAGACCGAAATCAGAGTTCGCGTAGTTGGAGGCAGGTTCCTCTCCGGGCTACTGCAGGTGTACTCCATYCATCATCTACGAACCTTACGGCACAGACGAAAGAATAAAATGAGCTATTCAATGTACGGTACGATAGGTGAGCCAATAGGTGAGCCAAAAGCCAAAAAGCATTATGCCATCATTTTGGGGGTTGTGGTGAAAAATTGCAACCCCGTTTTAATACGTATGACGAAGTCAGTCATTTAAATTTTCCTCTRCTAGTTAACATACAGTACTAGCTAACGTACGATGCGATAAGCGTACAGAAAAGTCACTCTACAAGGAAAAAAACCGAGTTGTACTGATTGATCGTACGTACGGTATGGTACCAGGTGTACGAGTAAACAAAAACAGCAGTTTCATTACAGTAGTTCTCCTTCATCATTCACTTCTTACCGACGCATGCATCTGCTCCGATACCTGCAACATCTGAACGACAATATACCACCTAAAAYTAGATWCAGGAGAAAACACWAAGAAGSATTGCAAGATGATGCAAGAAGAAGATGATACAGGATCGAGTTCTTTCGATCAAAAACAAGCAACTTGTAAGAAGGACCGGGTCATTTTTTGCGTTTTGCGAAAACCGAATACGAATACGACTCSGGCTGCAGCTGCAGCTGCGACGCTGACCTCGATACGATTTGCATTCGTCCACTCATTATCCTTTCCTGTTGTATAYCTTTAAATAAACTTTGTGACAACACGACAAAAATACGACGTGTTGGTACAACGACCGTCTTACTTCTACTTGATACGCTTTCCCCGAACGCAACTCTGCAGTTAAACGTGTGACCCAATATTGGATGGACAAATCTACGATTCATGTTGTTCCGAGATGGTGTTTGTTTACGTTTTTGTTGGTGATTTTCTTTCTTCGAATCTACTTGATTCAGGGATACTTTATCGTCGCCTACGGTCTAGGAATTTTYCTCTTGAACAATTTTATTGCCTTCTTGTCACCCTTGGAGGATCCCTCCGACGGTCCTGGGCTTCCGACGACGGAAAAGGAGGGCAAAGAATACCGGCCGTTTGCCCGACGTCTCCCGGAATTCAAATTTTGGCTTGCGTGTACGAGGGGGACGTTTACTTCAATCGTTATGACGTTCTTTTCGGTCTTTGATGTTCCCGTGTTTTGGCCGATCCTGTTGATGTACTTCTTTGTCTTGTTCTTTATGACAATGAAACGACAAATTATGCACATGTACAAGCACAAATATGTACCAATTAGTTGGGGAAAATCGAAGTACAAGGATGCCGGAGTAGAAAATAACATGTTTGGAGGAGGCATGTCCAAGGGGCGATGAACAAAAWCTCCGCAGCTTCGAGTATGCCCGATTGATCGGACGTATTGTAATGCAATGAGTGATGATGCATGGAGTCGATTATTGGACGTATGGATACATCATCAATGTACCTTTGCACTTCATGTGAKGAGTTCTGATTAAGATGTTTGTCGTGACATACTGAAAAGTATAATTCATCGCAATAATTTCTGTATGCATTTCTATCGGGAAAATGATTTACGCTATAGCTTGGTGATAGTTATTTGAGGAARGGAAAAGCACCCAGGATGAATTCCAAAGACAAGAATTCTGAATAATCAAACTAAGTAAATTCTCATGGTTATGATCATTGTATCAAATTATTTGTTTTGTTCTTCTGTYCTATTAGCTTCTTTGGACTCTTAACAATGGTTAAGCTAACAAGTTRCTATCGAGACACTCACACAAATTTCATCATGCGTCAATGATGGAATTTCAATGTCTTCTTCCTTTGGTCAGCAAGATGAAGTCTTTCCGCCAAACCACTCTTAGGAAGTGCTTTGACGCTTTACGCCCGGTTTTGACATGCGAAAACAGAAAACGGTACAATACGTACGTACTCGTATGCACATGCGGCATGATAAGTACGATACTGAACATTAGCTATTACAAGTACGTACGTACGTTCTGTACAACTGTGAGTACATAGTACATGTTACCCAACGACTGACTGACATTCAAGGTACTACCGTACTTGTCAAAGGCAGTGAATTCTATCTGAAAGTTCGTACTCATACGAGTACCGTCCAGAATGCAGGGGGTGGTCGTATTGTAATTCCAGACGGAATGTACGTACAAACTATCGGCACTCGGCACACTTTTTTATCGATCGGCTTGCTCGTACATAACAGGGGTCATACTCTCGAGACTTTCAAGGTGGACGTCTACCATCGTAACAGTTCGATGTGTCTGTCCGGTAGCAAAAAGCTTCAAAATTCAAAAAATTAYCTCRTCTCCTCTTTTCTTGTCCTGAATCAGCTACTGGGAACTTCTAAAGTTTTGAAGGTTACTCGATCACCTMATCAACAACAGCAGACACGAGCATTGAATGCATCAACAATATTTTACAAGTTCATTAATATATTTCATCGCTAGTACCTACCATGCCTCAAGTGAATCCCGATGCGAGTGATATCGAGAAATTGCAGCTTGCATTTCGAGAGATYACGAGCTCGTTTGGATCGATCGAAAGCATMATGGAGTCATTTGGTCTTTCAGACCTACCGATAGCACAGCGATATGGGATTTTRTGCGGTTTCRTCACCTTCGTATGTACTRTATCTGCAGTTGTAGCATTGTTGATATTTGGGGGGACGTTCAAGCGTATTGTAGAACAATCTCAGACCGGCAAGCCTTCTGTTGAAAGTGATTACCGAGTCCGACTATCTCGCCCTCTCCTATTGGAGCGTCTACTCTCAGCCCAAGTACGAATGATGAAGTTGAACTACTCCAACAGACCCGAGCGCAAGGAAGGAACTACCAATCTTACGAAAATGCTCTCAAGTGAAGCTCCACCCAAGAGCAAAGCAGGCGAAAAGGTCGAAAATTTTGATTTTAGCCAGCAAAATGCCGAAAGCATGGTAGGATACAAGCAGAACTACTTCATGGGTTATCGAAAATGCCAGGACAAGCCAGGAGGTACGTGAAGTAAAACCTTGTGATTCTTCAATACAATGAGCGACTGATTYTACGTCATCGAAATTGCTCACAGGATTTGGTCTATTCAACTGCCTACTTGCACGATGCTACCAAAATGTTCRATAAACTAACCATTTTTGAAAYAAGTATAGGTAAAATACTTGTTGGACGTCCAGAAGCTCGTTACGAAGCTTTTGCTCGGGCCTATGCTGGTTGCGGGGACACGACAACTCTATCTTATCGGAGATCCTACGCTCGGCTATATGAGATGGTTTCTTGTGAGACTCTCAAATCAGACGATAAATTTTCGGCTCTATACAGCGAACGACCGCAGGATATTGTGGGCAAGTGGATTCGGCTGGAACCACTTGAAACAAAACGCCACTTGAAGGCTGTGCATGCAGTGACGAATGGAGATCCARTATTTTTGAAAAAAGCCTATGATCCCGAAGAAGTTTGGGGGTTCCAGGCTGAAGGTCCGTTCAGTAGTGATGAAGCTCTACAAAAATCATTTATATTCCAGCATCATGAGAACGAAGCAGCATTTGCTATTTTACAAAACTTGAACGATCGTTTGGTGGGAGTAATCATGCTGACCAATGATAATCCACAGAATTTGGCGATTCAATTGGACTCTCCTATTACAGGACCGTCTAGTAGTGGAAGCAARGAAGAAATGGAGGCATGTTTTTTACTTCTTGATCGACTCTTTGCAAACGGTTATCGTCGTATCCAACTTTCAATCGATTCCAAGGATAGCCAAAGCTCTAAACTGGCTGATCGACTCGGATTTACGTACGAAGGATGCCTACTTAAGGATAAGATTGTCAAGGAATCAAGTAGAGATAGCCATGTTTATGGGATGCTCAACAGCGATTGGAGCAAAGGAGCACGAAAAGTGCTCTATAAGAAACTTTATGGGGCAGCCATGTTAAAAGTAGATGAAGCGTACAACAAAAAAGAGGAAGAACTCGACGAGCAACAAAGAGTTCTTGCGGAG